GATTTCTTTGTTTAGCCAAAGGGGCGTTGTGCGCTCCGCATCACCCTCTCTTACTAAACACCAGAAATTTTTTAAAAAAGATTATGAATAGGTGATAATTTATTTAAACAATATTCAGGGTCTATAATTTCAGTCACCATAGGATGTTATTTTTAAAAAAAATAATCAAATGAATAAGCCGTTTGAATTCCCAAGTATATTGCGTATTAATGATTTATCGAGAATAAGAATGCTACTCATATATTCGTGGACGTTGGTTCTGAAACCAACGAGTTTTACAAAAGTCCTAGTGTGAATTGATGGTGGGGAGGGGGGGGGGGTGGAGGTTTACCAGAATGAACGTTTGGCAGCTCTTTATTCGGAAATAGGTCAACTCAGAAGGCTGTCAAAATGAATTGAGACTTAAAAAGGCTTCGAGTCCGTTGCGCTTAGAATTTCAATTGTCGTTGAACCCTTGTTAGGTAGTGGAATAGTTCGGATGAAACGCCTATATTAGAATTCAGTTAGCTCGTAGTTATCATGGGCCGGCCTAGTATTATCCCAAAAACCTGGCCTTATGAAACAAGTTTTGATAAAACAGAGCTCACCAGAATTCGCTCAAGATGAACTCACATTTCTACGTCAGTTCTTTCAATTTAAAAAGCGCACTTTAGTGTGCGAAATAAACAAGTACATTGTCAAATTCTCGTATGTTGAATGGAGAGATCCGCGAGCTTCTGTTGCCACAATTTTTTGAATTTTGACATCCTTCTCAAGCTTTAACCTTCAATTAAATTCAGAAATTGAAATATTTTCTCTTCATCTTATAGATCACCCTCAAGTTTAGGAAAGTTACACGAAAGGCCACACCTGGTAGCGCGTAAAGTCTTCATGCCCGCTGCAAACTCTGAATTTAGTGAATTAGTAAACTAAGTAAATCATCGAGTGTGGTTATTCAAAGAGACTGTCGAGGTTGACTTACAGTGACTAGTTGCAACTAAAATGGGCCATTCACGCTAGTGATAATTAGCGATTGTCTTGTTACTGCTAAGGTAGGTGCGACAACTCGGTTCAAAAGGTTTTTTTGTTATTCATTTTGGCCCTTCTATCTGGGCCTTCATTTTGACCGATCTAGTCTAAGACACAAAGATCCTGGCTCACAGTTCAATGTCCTTCTGATCTACTTGCGAACTGAAGAGGCACTGGTGTGTTAGGGCGCTTTCTTCATCCCAAGTGCATTAATTTCGCCCATATTGCGCAACGCTTGTTCAAACATGTATGAATAAGCAAACGTAAGGCAACTCGCTTCACCCACTAGACTTCGTCATGCTTCTACACGAAAGCTACGGTAGTGAAGTGCAATGTGCACTCTCTGAATGTACTTTTACTTGCAAGCAATCAAGTTGTTAACACAAGCAGTCAACTGATAGGGCCTTTTTAACGTTCAAATCTAATTGGAAATGTCATTTTCTTCAACCTCTTCTTCTTTAAAGGCTCGAATAAAAGTCATGGATTAGCTCAATTTGCATTTAAGCAGGAGAGATCAGAATTGTATTTCCTTTTGGAAAGGAAGACAAATGTAAGTTAAGTAAGCAATAATGAAATTGACGTTTGTTTTGCTTAATGTAATGAGCTTACGCAACTGAAGGTGAACTAAAGTAGGAAGTACGCCAGACTAGACTGAATGACATCATGCAAGTATGGTGCTATCTTCAGGATAGTTCAAAGAAAGGAAAAATTTTAGGCTAAAAATGGTGTTCATGTTTTTAAACCCGATTTGGCTAAAAAACGCTTATCATTCTAGTTAGCTATAGAGCACTGGTCTCTTTGAAGGCGTAGATGTTCAACATCGGAAAGCAGAATTTTGATATCAAAAATTAAATAATAGCCAGCCTGTATTTCATAATCAACTAAGCCATTATTTTAAGACTTATAAGCGAAAGAGCTCATTAAAGAAACATCTCTTTGCAAGATTCAGGATGATAAGATCAGTCACCTGTTTGACGAAAAAGTCCTGTATATCACAAATAATAATCTCGAAATGTCTTATAAGCTGAAACTCCGCATCTGGATGAATCCATAACTTTGATAAAGCATTGCTCTACTAATGTACGGCCTTCTTTTCTATTCTATTCATTCAGAGTGATAGATCACTTGTTGCTAATATGAATGGGTGCTTTTCAAAAGTTAAAATATTAAAATTTATTTTTCTTTATTGAAGACAAAAGTGTGAACTTATTTTAAGTTATTGTACTATCTATTGCCACTAGGGCTGTAGGAAGATTTCAAGAATCCTCAATATGTTGAATAGCATTGTAAAATTTTATAAAATACTAAGATCAGGAACATAGTCTAAAGGCTGTTTAGACATATTTATATCAGAATGTTATTCACAAACTTGACAGTAGATACAATTCCAATATCTTTGAAGAATTCCATATTCAGGGCTGAGAAGAGAACTGAACTCTTCGAATTCCATGAATCAATCAGAATGTTAGCTACCTGCCCATATTCATATATAATTATTAAAGTAGTACAATTTGTTCTACTATTATAGCAAACGAGTATTATATTATTTGTCTCTAGTTATTGGGTTATTACGATTTCTGATCCGCATAACTCTACCCCTGCCTCAATTGTTCGTCAATGAACCAGTGAAAAACCAACCCCCACCACCTAGAAGATCACTTTATTTAGCTTTTATGTGCTAATGTATTCCAAACATGCACTCAACTCTCCTTCCTATAACCACCGCTCTTCCGTTACTTCTTCAGCCGCGAGTCTCCAACACAACAGTGGTCAGTCTCAACTCCTGTCCTTCTGATTTGTGGAAATACAGTTGCCTTCACTTGGCCTTTAAGATCAATAGATTTTTTACTTGGATTATATAAGAGGAACGACTGACATCCAAAATTAGTAACAATATGCATTGAAACCCTAATACCCAGGCATTTAGAATATATTTGAATATATGCTAAAGAGTGTGCGATAGACTTACCTCCATGCGGTGCACCCTGGATGACGTATTCTCATACAGAAAAAGTCTAGGAATCGGCAGTTGACTTCTGACTTCAAACTATCATCACCCCACTGTATATCAAATTCGACCACTTCAACAGTACTCATCTTACCTTTTCTCTGCCTTTGTGTCTGTCTGTCTCTTTTACATCTTTGGATCACTCTTCTGTTCCCCCTCACCACCTTTTCTCACTTTGATGTTCCTCCTCCCCTCTGTGAAGCCCAAAGTCAGCTAAAGGGCTAATGATAAGTATCATTTGAAATAAATAAATAAATAATATATGCTTAAACAAACATAGTGCAAGAACGGAGCCTCAGCAAAACAAAGGTTCGTCAGAAAAAAAAATTAGTAAATCCAAAATGCGAATTACAAAAGTACTTTTGGGCAGCCGCCATATGTACAGTCCAGCTTGGTGTTTTTTTACGATGTGAGATCTTTTAGCGGGTTGAACTGCAAAGGACACCTTTCTACATCATATCAAGTGAAATGTTATCGACACTACCAACCCCACAAATATGATTTCACGCAGATTAGAAGCAATTCAAAATGCTTATTAATGCAAATCCAATTTAGTGAACGAAACACCAGATTTCCTTTCAACATTACCTCATTGCCAGACAACAGATTACTTTTATTGGTATATATTTCACCACAGTCCTAATATGAATAATCACCTACAATTAAAACAAACGATTACCAATTTTATTGACGCGGAGTGCAATGTTCGACTTACTAAAAGGCCTTTTCCTTCTATTTATTTTCCAAGTGATCATCTTATCCATAAATGAGTATCTACATAATTGGGCTCTGGCCCTCCAACTCTTCCAAGCAGATTTAACAAACGGCATTTATCTAATTTGTTAAATAAAAGGATCGTATTCAGCATACAATTATGTGGATCATTTTAATTACCCGTTTAAATGGGGCGAGAATACTCTATTTCATAATGATTTCTTCTAAATAGACACCAGCGTTCAAAATTTGTTCATTTGAAAAGTCCGTATGCAGTTATTTCTGCTGTGAAACCAAACAGAAGACGTTTGACAAATTTTATCGCTCTGAGAATACATTTACGAGGTAAACTTTGTTCTTGAGACAAATTGTCAGCCAGTCTGGAATCTTATTTAACACAAAGGAAGCAAATCTATTACTTGTCGGCATTTTTTTTGCGAATCCCCTCATAATTGCCTTTAATAAATGAAATGGTGCAATTTTCATTTAAAAAGCTATCGTCTTATATTTTCCCTTCAGAGCTTTAAAAAGCCCATTACTAGTAAATTGCAAAAATGGCATTGGCATCACTGTGTAGCCTCAAAATTACCTTTGAAAATCATTTAACCCCCCCCCCCCAATGTTATGCTTTGCTTCAAGGACACGGTAATTCCAAACCTGGAACGACAAATTACGAGTTTAACTCTATTTTATTTGATTTGAAGGAACAGTGTTTCTCTAAAGGTTAGGCAGAATTTGAGCAATTCGAGGTGTTATCATTTTTATAATTTCCCAGAGAATCATTATTTATTTACCATGTTAAAAATTTAATTTTAAAAAATTGCTAAAATAAATTATTACATAATTACTCAATTACTTGAGAAGAAAATTAAAACCTCAATTAATCAATGATAGTTCATTTATTTCATTTCAATTATTAAATATTTACGCGAGTCTTCAATCTAGAATTAATTATTTTCTCCATGATAGAAATATCTATAAATGAATACAAAGTTGTTAAATAAGCAAATGCTAATTTAGGTTTGGTAAAATATGACTAACGGCGAAAAATGTAAACAACTTTTAAAAATCATGAGTCATGCTTTTGTATTCACCAAAACGCATAAAATAAATAACCAGGAGATACAATTAACCTCGAAATAAGTGTTGGGAGATGAGTGTGGGAAGCTCTCTAATATGTTCGAAATATATAATGTTTATTCTTTAATCTTGCTAGCCTACGTTCGAAAGTTCGAGAGCAAAGTCACAGAAGGTTGAGTAGTGATTACGCCTACTTTTGCACAGTAATCTGCTTGGAGCTTCGGAAGAACGTCTGGGGAATATTGACATCAGCACTTTGGTACTGTGTGCCGAAGTCAACCTTGATGCGCTGTAAAGCAGCAGCAATAGTGCAAGGATCAGTTTGAGCAGATGTCTCAAGTAGATTGGTAGGTCGAAGATCAACCTGGATAGCTCGATGCCTTTTGGAATCACGTTCTGTTGGTAAGCGTCTTCCATTCACATCCGTAGGACTAGCTTGAACAGCCCGACAGATGAATTTTTCCCTCAATGCAAAGGCTTCAGCAACGAGTTGACCTGGGGTTGCACGCCTTCCCAAATTTACCCCCTCACCAGGGATGAATTTGCCCAATCTACGGGCCCAATGAGCACTGTATGACGATGGTACCATACTGCCAACTTCGGCGGGTGGTGCAAAACGAACTTTCTTTGAAGACTTTTGTTGATTGATGCTTGTAATTGAAGAGCTATCTGTCTCACTTAGTTCCTCGATTCTTCCATTGTTCTCTGTTGGACTCATATTCGCCATCTGAGAGAAATTTTGCTCCAGAGTGTCAATTTCTTGGATTAATTTCGGCCAGTTTCCTTGGGTTGGAAGAGAAGAGGCAAGAACTTCGAGAATTCCATAATATCGATCTCGAATTTGACTTGCCTCGGAAAGGGCATCGACAGGGTGAAGAGAGTAAAGGGAACCCATTACATCTTCTTCCACTTTTAGCTTATCCCAACTGGCAAGAGAAGCAGAGATAATCTCACCCTGAGCAGTTAGCTCATCCGAAGTAACTCCAACATCTTCATCTAATTCCTTTAGTAAATTCTCTTTCTGAGTATTAATACTCTTAATTAGATTATCAGCGGCTGCAGTTATTTCCGATTTTAGTGCGAGGACATTAGACGTACATGATTTTAATCCAAGAAGAAGTAATTCCAAGCGTTCAGCCTTTTGCTTGCAATCAAATATGGATTTGTTGACATTTTGTTCAAGATTAGTAAGTCCTTGACGGATAGAGAGAACATCATGATCAGCATGACCGGACTGTTGACATTGATCCTCAGAATCGACGTCAGAATTAAGTTCGGAAATGCTAGATTCAAAGGTGCACACTAGACAGACCAGCTCTCCACACGTAAGACAGAAAAACCGCTTCGTTTCACGGGGATGACGTGGGCATGACATTTGAGTAAGCTGATCTAGTTGAATGATAACGTGATTAGCGGTGACGGGAACTTTAGCATGATTTTGTAAACAGAATCCACACAGTCGCTTGGCACATTCAAGACAAGCAGCCACGGCTTCATTTGGTTGAGCAGGTTTGTGATTAGAGCAAGCGGCAAAAAGTTCATCATCCGATACATTCACATTCATCTTCTTTAGACCATTTCGAAAAAAGCGACGACCATTCCGTGGACGGTTTCCAATACTCCCATGATGAGCTCTAGTACCATTTCTAGGAAGATCGTTATCTTCATCTGAGGATTGAATGTCACTTGTACTGTCCCCATCCTCAGCGTCAGTCCACGGACGATTATTCTGAGGTTTGACGCAAGAGTTGTTGTTCTCAGTGGCACTCACATCTGGATAGATAGCAGAATTTCCTGATGAACAAACATCGCAGACAGGATAGTTAGGGATTTTCCCAACAATGCACGCCAATTTACCAGCCATTTGGTCATCTGGAAGGCCGTGTACTCCTGCAGAGGGCAAAGTAGTTTTTTTCATGCATACTGGACATTGAATTACATCATCAGAGAGTCGTGATTGATTGTAAGTGTGATCATTGTTTTTAAATGCTCTAGTCCAGCGTCCTTTATACTGTGAGACGGAAGATGAAGAAGAATAGCCAGAAGATCTTGATAGTTGTTCTAGTTCCCGACGTTTTCTTGCAGCTTCAAGGGTTTCCTGCTCCAGAATATGGTCCAGACATGGTTTACAGAAAGTGTGCATGCATGTCAAAACTTTAGGGGTGGTGAAAGGTTTACTGCAGATTCTGCATGTTAGAAAATTAGCCTCAAGACTGCGCCGAATCTCCATGTTTGCTGGGACTTATGTACAAACGGGCCTGGGTTGCCGTCAGACGAACAACTTATTAAATGACGAAAAGGGGCAACTACGCGAATTAGTGACTGTACGCGCTCCTGACCAGCACACACGGAGACAGCTTTCACTAACCGCGATACACAGTTCAAATTTTCCGCAAGCGTCCACTGCACTAGTGTGATTGGCGCTTCACCGGTGACCTTCACCTGACCAATAATGTGAAGTGCACGAATCTTTACTGTTACCCGATAGGGTCAAATAGAATCTTTGCTGTTCCCATCTGGAAGGGCAAAAGCGCCCGTTTTACTGTGCATAGTCATTTCTGAAACAGATAAAAGACTAGCCCCCTCAAATTATTTATATTTCAGGCTGTACAAAATTCACCATTAAACAGACAAGGGTAAATGATAAACCTACGAATTTCCTAGTATGTCTAAATAATGCTGGTTGTCATAAGTAGTACTCCCCAATTTAACAATGAACATTAACAAATATGGCTGCAGTAAAAAGCGTTTTAAGGGCAAAGTTTAAAATGTAAGGACTGGCAATTGAGAGAATTTCTTCCTAGGCTTAAATAGGTGTACAATTGCTTAAAGCTGTATGGGCACAGAGACAAGCGGAAATTTCACACCCCGTCACGTTCATTTATGGCATGATTTACCGGTATGTGATTGGTCGAAAGCCAATGTCTGAAACAGATCTTTCCGAACATCGATAAAGTACAATAATATCGGAAAATACCCTGATAAGTTCTAAAATTAACGCTTTTTGAAGTATATTGGGAAAAATGTCCCTATTACAATAAAAAAAGCTTTGTTTCTCAATTTTATTATTTAATTTGTGGAAGAAACGGTTATTTTCAATTCAACTTCGCAAACTTTGTAACTTTTGGCACATATTTTCGATTATTTGTCTACACACTTAATTAACCGCATTATTATTATGAACATGAAGACCAGTTTCTAAGTCAGTCCAAGAGAAAAACTTCCTAACTATAAACAATTTTACTGTAACTGATGACGCCAATTCGATTAAAATTGTAAATTATAAACTGATAGTTATAAACTTCAGAGTGAGGAAAAGCCAAAAAAAGCAGGAGGGCTGAAGGAGCATAATCAATCGAACAAATTTTTTGAATTCATGGAAGGCCGTTCATGTTTTTTTTTCAATTCATTTAGGCAGAAGAATAGATATGAAACGAATTCCTTCACCTAAAAAAGTGGGCTTGAACTTCTGAAATATCAAGGTGATGAATCGGAGCTCAGTACACTGTACTACCCAAATGGGTATGATGTAAAACTAGTAGTTGTCCAATTTCCTTTTGAAAAATAAAAATCAGAGGTATTTTCCTTCCGGTAATGACTTGTTCGCAATTACTTTAAGTCATGTTTACTTTATTCCTCTACCAATCTCATTCCATTTTCCGATTCTCGAATAGCATGATTGCCTCGAAACATAACTTCCATATTATCTCTCTTTTATTGGTAAGAATTTGATTTGCGCTCATGTTTTTTGATGCAAAATTAGGCCGTTATGACAAGATCTTAGCATTCTTCACATAGAAAGCACAATAACAAAACATCGGCGGTTACCAAATTGGATAAGATTTTTACTCTAACCAATGAAATAATTTAATTCGGCTCGTTTAAAAAGCTCCAATCTTAAGCTTCAAATAGTGCAGAAAAATAAAATTATCGGAGGTCTTTGAAAAATAGAGCTTACAGAAGTGGTGTTTATATTTTGTCTCGGGATAATGAATGCCCTTACTGTCACTAAGTCACCCAATAGCCTTTTCAATTAGAGGACGAATATCACTCCTGTTTAACTTGACAGTTATTTAGGTCGAAATGTGTTTTTCAGTTCCATAGTTTTTTTATGACTTAATATCAACCACATGAAGACAACTTGTTTTCCTATATCCTGGCCTTGATTAAACCAATAAATAGGATTAAGTGCATTCTGGCATAATGATCTTTTACTCAAGTGTAACCTACAAGAGTCACTCTTTACCAAAGTGAAAAACCGAGCGTTAACGAAAAAAACAAATAAAGTATTCGTAATCTGACGATAAGTCTACCTTTGTCAAAAGCCCTACAGTAAAAAATAGTTAATTTCAACATGAACTTGTAGCGGATTGCTACCTTAGTAAAGCTCGACTGACTCAGAAATCTCTATGACAGATTCTCCAACATCTAGCTAGGCTCCCAGAACTGGCCAAGCCATAACCCAGCTACAAAGGAAACAGACGTGTAGCAAGGAGCACGTTTATTCAGTACGGGTATTGCGGATAGTGTGTACACGCAGGGAGCTACTCATGATCAGGATGGGGGATTAGGTTAAACTGAGGTTAATGATTGGTCACTGTTTGTACGGTCGCTGCACACAGAGTTGTACGGTCGCACCTCCCAATCCTGGCGAGCAGACATGCAGGCATACGATGACGCACAACGCGATAACGTGTCCCACAAACTATTTACTTAAAAATTGTGAGATATGTAAAACACTTTATCATGTAAAACATTTGTAAGTATCATTTATGAGAATACGTTGTATTTAGTATTTTTAATTATAAAAATCAAGCATACACAATAGAATTAAATGTTACTTACGCACTGTAATGTGCAATTTTGTGTAACATTGTGGTTTTTCGTCCTCTAAAGTTGTTAACCTTTAAGGTCAAACAAAACACCTGCTTATTAGCAAGCCAGATTTTCAG